TGGTCTGTGATTCCCCAGAGCTAACAACATTAAGTTCATGTGGAAAGTTTTATAATTGTGTCAGGTCTAAACTGGGGCAGGTTTCCCAAGTGGGGACTGTGTGTCCTGAGTACAAGTGGTGTAGAGCTAGCATTTTCCAGAGCTTTCACTCTTGCTCTCTCTTTCTCAGCATGGAAGTCAGGAGAGATGGTATGTTTGTGCTGCTGTGATCAGGGATCTTAACTATCTTCTCAGCTCCCAAGTCCCCTTGTACCCAAATATCAACAGGTGCTTTCTCAGCCTGATGTGCACCAGGTGTTTTAGGAGAATGCCGTTGTGTTGAGCCACCTGGGGGTAAGGTGGAGGGATTTTGGCACTTGGGATGCATAAGGTTGCTATTAGACAGCAGACTATGGACAGAAGCCTTGCAAGCCTTCTTAATGTGGCTCTTTGCCTTTCTCAGCTTCCCCTATCCTGCCTCTGAGACCTTGCGTCCTTTTCCTGGCCATGGAAGGAAGTGGCTCTGCTGATGTGCTTCTGTAAGGGCTTGCAGGGCACCTCACTGCTGGGCACTTTCCTGACAGAACTCACCCTTGGCAGCCCTTATGCTCATTCTGTTTGTTGCAAACAGGACTGGATTCAGCTGTGTTAGAGCAGAGGCACCTGGCCACTGCACTGGGGTGAACCCTGGGGTGCTGGTGTTGTGCTCTGCCACGGTAGCAGGAGTGGGATGCTGTGATGGAGTGAGACCTTCCTCTGCACCTGATTTAAGACCAGAACGCAGGAGCAAAGCTGGTGCATTAGACTTGGCCACTGAACCAAAGCATGAACATTTGGTTTTAAGCCCCTTTTGCAGATTAGCTGGAGCTGTGTGAATGCGGTGCTCATTTTAGCCTGTATTCCTCCTTTTTAGCTGCTTATGTGGCTAAGGGGAGCAGATCAAACACTTGTTCTTAAATTAAGATGCTACAGTTCTGTACTGTAAGTGCTCTGTGGAACAACTTCTGGGACAGCCTGTGACAGCATGTGGGTTGTCTTCATGTGGTTTGGAGCCCAGCATACATAACTGGGGCCTTTTCCATGCACGTAGGTTACAGCAGTTCAGTTGGTAAATGTGAAGGGAAGGGTGAGAAGTTCTTCAGTGGAAGATGGAAGTAATGAACCCACGGCTCGGTACCAAACCAGCAGGCTGGGAGGATGTGGGTATGCTTGAATGGTTGGGTACTACTTTGAGCTTGTTTCAGAGGTGAAAGGCCCGAAGGATGACGCCTGTAAGTATAAGAGGCACTTAGTGATCTAGTTTCTAGCATGTTTTCCTTATAATAACGTTATAATATAGAAGACCTTTGTATTTTACAGTTGCACAGCACCTTGTACAGTAGGCATCATCTGTGCTACCAGGCTCCAGCATGATCAAAAAAATTCATAACTGTTCTGTGTTTTGGAAGTCTTACTATGCAATTTAATAGCGTAGCAGCATAATGAAATCTTTAAGGGAAAGTGATGAGAGTGAGTGGTTTTGTGTGTGAATTACAGGGTCTGCGAGTGGGCGAGACACTAGCTACTTGTTTTATTGCTGACAATATACTTATTTTCATGTTTATTCCTGGATTACAATGTGTGAATAGCATCCTAGTAAACAGTCAGGCAAATAGTTATTTATCAAGTATTTAAAAGTGAAAGGTCTTGTAATTTTCCTTAGTAATGACTGTGATTTCTTCCAGCTGGATTAATGGCTCCCATTTCTCCCCATGAAGAACAAGAAGTGTTTTGGTTTCTACATGGAGAGTTATTGTCTCCCATAATAATGCAGACCAGAGGATTTTTTTTCTTCCTGGCCTGGGCTCTGGGAAAGGTTGAAATGTGCATAACCTGAATTAATACCTTGTAAAGCACTTTAATATTCTTTCTTTTGTCATTCCTGTTGGAGTGGTGCAGGAGTCGGTGCTGGCATCAGCCCAGCAGCAGCCTGCCTCAGAGCTGCTTTTGTTTCAGTTTATGAGGCAATCAGTGGGTCTTGTGATGGAATTGCCTTGAAAGGTCACTTTTAATTACATTTCTGACACATTCCTCAGTCCCCAGCTGGGCAATGCTGGTGGAACAGGTTGCCTGCAGCTTTGCGGCTCTGTTGCTACAGCAGGCAATTTCAAAAATACACTCTAGAGCAGCTGCTGGCAGGCCAAAGTGGACAGAAGAAATAGAACTAAGCGTTGTGTTCTGTGCCCAGTCATTGCTGTTGGTACCCTGAGGTTATGGAGGAAGCGAGTATCAAAGCCTAAGTAATCCCTTGGTAATAACCTCTCTCAAGCCCTTGGATAGCAAAGGTGATTTCTTTGCTGCTGAACTGACTGTCCAAATTGAAGGGCTGTGCCAGATCCTCCCTGCACATCATGTTGAGGGGCCATAACAGGTAGAGGTTTCTCCTTTCTCACTCTTTCTGGGATTGACCATCTTTCTGGTCCAAGAGCTGTGGCTTATGGTGCTAGTCCAACTCTGTCACGCTAACTCTGTCAGACTGCAGGCTGGTAAACCCTTCCTGGAGCCACTTTTCATGTACATCTTATCTTTGGGCCTTCCTTAACTGGTGGGTTGTTCAGTTTTGTCTCTGTTGGAGAAGACTGAAGGTCGTTGTGAAGGTAGCTCTGCCACAGGCTTTGAAGACCTGCTCCCCATTGTGCATGTCCAGATCCTGTAAGCTATTTTAATTGCCGAATTCCTGTAGGTTTATGGGAGCTGAACTGGGCTGTCATCTCTTATCATGACAAGCAGAGTTAGTGGCAAGGTGTGTGTTCTTTGACCTCTGCTTCCTTTCTCAACCTCTGCCTCTTCTTGGTCCTACACTCTTCAAGTCCCAGAAATGTGCAGGGTCTAACAGTTGGAATCTAACCCAGGAGCAGGTCCTGTGGCTGTGTTGAGGCCAACACAGAGCTTTTTTTTGTTTGGTTTGGTTTTTGTTTCAGGGCATGTGGTTACTATGGTATGCTTCTGAAATTCCTGCGTGCTTGGGGTCTGCCTAGTGTTTCTCACGGCAGCTTGCGTGCTCCCTGCACACTGGGGGTGGACCCTGATGGTGTGAGAGTGCAGGGGGGTGACAGGAGGAGGGGAACCGTGCTGGGAGCCAGTGCTGCAGAGTGCATGAGAAATGGTGCTGCTCCCCAGCTGGGCAGGGGATGGAGCCAGCTCTTTGGATGCTGCATTTGAAAATAAATAGGCTGCGTGATTGTATTAATCTGAACTCAGCACTCGTGGCTTGAGGGGGCTCTGTGGGGAGCTCTGGCTAATTGCTGTGTGAAGATGCTGAGTTTATTCTGTCAAAGGAAATTTGTGGACGTAGAGTATCCTTTGGCGTATGACTGCTGCATGATGCGACTGTCCTTGCCAAGGGCAGTGATTGGGTGGTGCACCTGGGATGCCCTAAATTGTGATGACACTTTTGTTTCTTCCTGAACTGCTTTTCCCCCTTTTCTCGCCCTGCTTCTTTCCAATCTCATCAGCAAACACTTCTACATATTCATAACATGGGATTTGTCTCTATCTGCATGACTGCTGCTGGTTTGAAAGGCATGTGACATTGCAGGGGGGGAAACAGGGTTAATCTCTTCCTGCAGTGGCAGAACAAGGTTGAGCAGGAGGTGTACAGCACAAGAATTATTTCTGAACATGCCTTTTCCACTATTTGCAGTCTGCGGAGGAGGAGGAGGAAGAACAGTTTCCTTTCCCTAATTACTGCTTCACAGATGCTGATTCACTGTTAGGACAGGGATGCGGGTGCACTAGTTGTGTGCAAGTGTGATTTCAGGGCATCGATGACTCCAGGCTTATTGAATAACTCCACGACACTTTCCTTGCTGCCAGCCCAGCAGTCACCCAGCAGGGCTTGTAGCTCCTTGGGTTTCTCCATGTCCATCAGCCAATTTCTACGTGGAAGTTGCAGGGTCAGGTTGGTGGGTAGGAGGCAAGCAGCAATTGGCCTGACTTGTAACCAGGGCAGATCCTTTGACCGACGAGGCTTTCAAGCCTCTCGTTGCACATGCTTTAGACTGGGGATGAGCCTGCCCACCCTTGCTGGCGGCAGATGCAGTCAGAGCCCCAGGCTGCAGGAGGGTGGGATGGAGGACTGTGCCTTCTGGGCTAGCCCAGCCATGGGTCAGGCTGCCTCTGCCCACAGCGCTACAGGGCCCCAGAGAGCCTCACAGGCCTGGGCTCCAAGGGATCAAAATGATTAGCTTGGCAAGCCAGGGCAACCTCATTAAGAGCTACTGAGAGTGTGAAAAGCATGTTGCTGGAGGCAGGTCATTGTAAATGAGGGGGCTAAAATACCTGGGTTTTCCTAACAATTAATTATTGAGTGGTTTTCTAGAGATTCTTTCTCATGTTTGTAATTTGTTCCCTGCTGTAGATGCAGTGTTGATTTATATTTTTTTCAACTTCAATATTTTGCACCCTCAGGGCCTCAAACAAAAATTAACTAGAAAATGAGAGAAAGTTTCTGCATTCTGCCTTGTCAAAGCTTTCTTTCTCATTACTCATCCTCGGAGCCAGTTTCCGTGCTCCTGTTTGGGTTGCAGATGTTGCCAAGCCCATGTGCCGTGGGTGGCAAAACAGCTGTGGCAGAAGAGCTGCCTCACTGACCAACAAATGAGGAAATCAAGAGCCCAATTAAGAGCCTAGAGTTGCCCCCAGTGACCCAAGCAAAGCATTCAGTAGCTGCTAGTGAGACAGGCCTGTTTGAATGAATAAGCATTCCTGTTCATTTGAAGAAAAAAAACCCACCTCCTCCCCTAGCTTTAATTAGCTAAACTTTTCCTTTTTTTTCTGCCACGAATATAGAGGGTTTGTCACTGGAATGAAACCTTTACAAGATGCGTGTTCTGCAGCTTGCAGCTGATGGAGTTGATCTCTGTGCAGGTGGTGTGGGGACTCCTGTACCTGTTTTCTTTGTTTCCTTGCTGGATCTTTGTTTTTGCTGTTGTGACTACAGCTCTTCCTTACCGTCTGATTTGTCTCTTTTCCTCCAACAGGGTGACTAAAGAAGTGGACTCAAACTCAAAAGAAGCTAAATCTTTCCTGAAGCAGCAAGAGAAATGGCAGTCAGCAGCTCCAACTTCTCTCCCGACAGTCTCTGGGTGAGCATGTGGTTTCTCTGCCCAGATATGGACTCTTAGTGAGAAAGACAGCACTTGAGCCAGTAATATAGGCTCTGTGGTATTTAAATTAATGGGTATTTGTTTTCTGCAGGATTTCAGTGGGAGCAAGACTAGGCCTGGAAGGTGTGATGATGTGGGGGGGAGGGAAGCGGGGGAAGCAACCCATGAATCCCAGTGACTCACTTCATAGGTTCAGGCTCAGATTTCTCAATCCTCATAAATCATTCATCCTAGTAAGAAAATATTGTTTTGAATGTCTTGAGCAGCCTGATGAAACTGCAGGTAGCCAAGGAACATGCCTGAGATTGCCTGCAGTTCCTTTGAAAGGTGCTTCTCAGGACCATAAAAAGCCATGACAGGCTGAGCTGTGGCTTCTTATAAACTTTGGGAAAGCATTTGAATGAGAGATGCCTTTGCCTCTTTGATGTTCTCTAATATCATTTCAGTATGGATTTGTCACTTTCTGTTCAAGCTCTAAAGCCTAATTCTGAGATTATCATAATGCTTGTCAAAGATACAAAGAGGTCAGGTCCCCTGTGCATCTGACGTGCCACTCTGTGTGGCTCTTGATGAGCTTGGGAGATCATCCGCTTCTCAGGAATGGAGGAAGTGCTTCTGTGTTCCAGCAATGATTTTTATTTAAGTCAGTCATTTGCATTTATATTTGAAAGACATAAGCTGCATATGAGTTGGTCACATAGAAACAACACCCACCAAATAAATACATTGTCCTTCCCATCTGCTGAAGAGCAATTCTCCAGTGTGAGTTAAGGCTGCCTTTCCCTGAGATAGGCCGTTATTCAGTTGCTGCAGCTGGATTGTCACTCACTTTTCCAGCTAAGTGTTGCATAGCTTGTAGTTAGATCAGGGTGGTGAAAGCATAGTATGTGTGTGTGACTCTTGACAGCTGCTGTTCCCCGAGATGAATGAATGCATAGATGAGCACAGTCTTGGTGCTGTTGTTCATGCTGCACAAGGGTTTGTCCCTGCAGAGCTCATTAATTGTAACTTAAGTGTTGTGTACAGGGTTTTGTGCTGGAAAAAACTTGTCTTGAGTTGGACTGGCATTCTTTGTTCAATCTGGGCGGCCACAGAGGTGGTTTGGGTGGTAGCTGAAGCTAGGGCAGCTCCTTGCCATGCACGCTGCTGGTGGTCCCATGTCTTTACAGCTGCCTTCCAGTTCCCCCAGCAAACGCGCTGCTGCTCTGAGCGCAGGCAGCTTTGGTAGCCCGCTGAGAGAGCCCACGGGCTGCTCGCCTGCCTGCTCGGCTGATACCCATGTTTCCTCCTGTTCATTACTGGCCCAGGGAAGGAGATGGATGGCCAGCAGGCCTGCGCAGCCTGGTTGTTACCAAGGTGCATGGCTGCTTGTGCTGGAGCTCTGATCACTCAGAAGAAATAGCCAGAGCCCAGTTTGACTTAACACTGCACATGTCTGAAGTGAAGAAGCTACATCAAATATGGAAAAAAGGAATAAAAATCAATATAAGAAATAATGAGTTCAAGGACTCCTTTAACTTTCCTCTAGTGTGATTATTTTGGAAGCAGCTTAATTAGGTCATTGTTCAGCTTGCTGATGTGTGATGTCCTACTGACGGTTGCTTGCCCAGAATGTGAGGTGGCCTGGCTGTGGGGAAGGGAGGGGAGAAATAACCCTGGGCTTTTGCATCTGTCTTTCTTCAGAACAGCAAACCCTTGTGCAGTGCAGCCCTGTGTGCCTTCTCTTTTGCAACCTGCTGCAGAATATCCTGGTTTAGTGCAGTGATACTACGGCAGAGGTGTAGCAGTGGTGTTTTGATCAATGTGTGGAACAGCTCAGCATTCTTGAGGGCTTAGCAGCCTGGCCAGTATGTGCCCTCTGGTCTGAGTGCTCCAGGGAGTCTTCTACCTCGGGATGGTATCTGAGACTGCCAGCAAACATGCCTTCCTTTGGGTTTAGGAGGCTTCTTCCAGCTGGGAAGTCAAGTGGGTTATTTTCAGGTGAGAAAATTACTAACAGGCTTGCTGTGTTCCTTAAAGCCAGAGGCGAGTCCCTTATGTTAAGAAAATTACAAAGGTCAGGAGCCAATCTATTGTCCAAGCCCTGTTCCTCTGGAGCAAAGAGCCACAAGCCTCCGTGACGTGCCAGAGCAGCACCTGGGGACCAGCGAAGCATGACGTCACCTGATGGTTCTTTGCTGGTGCCCTTTAGCTACTTAAAATAGAAGATTTGGGGGAGAAGTTTTGGTTTCCCTTGTGTGTTACAGGAGAGCCGGTCGGGGTCAGTAGGCAGAAGGCAGTGAAAAACATGTGATTTGCCACCCTAGACATGCCTGTGGACACCCATTGTGCTGGGAGTCCTTGTCAGCCCTCAGGAGCTTTGTCGGCTATTTAAAAAAAAAAAAAAAAAAAAAAAGGCAAAAACCTTGCCCTGTGTGCAGGGCATTTGAGCAGCTGAGTGGCCTCTCCATCTGGCTTTTCTTTCTTCACCTTGCAAGCAGCTTGCATTATTTCTAAATGCAGCCAGCCTACCCTGCATTTATTTAGTTTCCCTTCTCTAAACAGACAGAAGTAATCCAGGAAAGCAGCGGTCACAAAACCAAACATCCGGTTCCACATCTCCTCGTTACAAACCCTTGCAGCCTAACTGGTCCAGGGGAAGGGATGTTTGGGGCTGAAAGTGCATTTCCTGAATGTGTTTAACATCCATACCGGATGTGCTATAAAAAGCTAGATTTGTGCTTGTGAGGGACATGGGGTTGGTTGGAGGAGAATAACTTAAAACACTTGGCTGTAATTAAAGCCAGGAGTACAAAACAACCCACCCAGTTTCTCTCGGCAGGCTTTGCTAGAAAGGTCAGAAGCCCTTGGTTCCCAGGGATGTGATGGTTTCCCAGCCTTTCCATTATTCCCATTGTGTCCCCCCGTGACACCCAGCTAGGCAGCAGTCTGTCAGCAGTGGTTATCTGTTTCTTGGAGGGATTTGAGGTTGATACTCTGTGCCAGCTGTGTTTGTCCTGTCTTTGGTTGTGTTAGGTTCTCTCTGGTGCTGTCAGAGGTATCAGATGTGATGAAGGGATCCACCAATCCCTTCTAATTTGCTGTCACAAAAACTGGGTGGAAGGCTCCCAGCATTCAAAAAAAGCTTTCCACTCACCCTGCTAAGCCGTCTTGCCTGTCTGCATTTTAGGGCTTGTTTCCTCTCCTTACCACTGCTCCTGGGCCTTTTGGGGGGCAGCAAGAGTAGCTTCTGGCTGTAAATGCATGACCTGATGGAGGGGTCGATCAGCTCTGTGGGCGTTCCTGCTGCTCGGAGAGCTGCTTTCTGCCCTCTCCCTGGGCCAGGCGGGACCCGCAAGCTGAGTCCATCATCCTCTGCACTAGTAATCCTATTTCGCAACCACCATTTCATATTCAGAGGATGTTAAAGCAAATTAAATCCACTGTGCAGCTTACTGCAGATTGATTGTGTGCGTGTACTTGTGCGCGTGTGACTTGAGACACAATGCAGGGGTTGAGCTATAGGCTGGGAAATACCTGCACAGACCCAAGCCCTTTGGCGTGAGCAGCTGCGATCTGCCCATCGGTCCTTGACGCTTGTCAAAGCACAGCAGCATTGCATAGGGAACAGTGCTGCTGTAGCAGTCCTGAAAATGAAAAAAATGTACTTGGTAGATCTTATTTGATATTCTCCTCTAGGCAGCCGTTTCTACACAGCCTGAACAGGAGCCAGGAAGAAAAAGAGAGGTTTTTCACTGGCTTTGTTCTTGCCTTTACTTATTACCAAAACCATTTGTAATTAAAGGTGGACTTGCTCACTCAGCCCAGCTGTTGCTTTTCTGTTTGATCCTGCCTGAAATTACAGTGGTGGATGTGTGACCTCCTAGGCCTTTTCATGCCTTGTAGGCTGGTATAAACACAGGGTAGAATTTGCCTTTGAAGCAAGCGGGCACCACTCCCACGGAGTTCAGAAGGTGCGGTGCTTGCTGACCCCTGGGCTGAGTTTGGTCTGTGAGGGTTTGGACCTTGTTGCAAGACCCAGCAGGAGGAGGCAGTGCAAGAAAGCTCTGACCCAGAGACACATACTTGCCCTGCACAGAGAAAACAAGATAAACTCTAGCCTGCTCGTTATGGATGCTTTCCTCCCCTAGTCTACAGTGGAGCAGTTCATGTGGACTGACCATTAAATGGTGTGAAAAGCTTCAGGCCGTTGCTTTTAGGCGTTACTCACTCTGCTGCATGCTAATGTTGCGGTAGAGGGACTCCACCAGAAAGACATCTGTCCGTGGCTTCTCTTCCACCCTCAGTGTGCAGAAGGAAGAATGGTGGCAGTCTTTGTGGAAGGATATGGTTGGTGGGGGAACCTGGAGCCCTTTTGCAGCATCCTGACCTGTTACTGTCATTTCTAAGCTAGCCTTCCCTTCCAGCCTGGCTATTCCTAGGAGCTGCTTTGCATCCAAAGCTTTTTCTTTCAAGCATTGAAAAGCAGGCATTCAAAAGATGGTCTTTCTGCTTGAGTTGGATGAAGCTAATTGGATCCCTTTGCTATCATGACCAAAACTGGTTACTTGAGATCTTAACTGGACACTGGTGAGACAGGCACAGGCTCTCGGCTTCTGTAAACCTCAGATGATCTAGAGCAAGTGCTGCAGCAGTTGCCTCCAGGGAGCAATTTCATTTCATAGCAATCCCATGGGCTTTTTTTCTTTAGAAGGCAGGAATTTACAGTCCAATTTCAGCTCAGCATCAACTGCAAGCAGTTTATTTAGCTAAAACTCTTGCACGTTTTGCTTGTACGGGCTGAACAAGGATGCAAATAAAGCAAGTAATCAAGACCTTTGGGGAAGCTGGAGGTGGGGTTTTTTTTCAGTAGCCACTTAAGCAGTGGAATAGCTCTGTTCTTGCTAGTGATTTCAAGGTTTCTCAACTTTCTCCTGCACTTCCCTTACTGTGCTCCAGAGAGTGCTGTTCTCCAAGACGGAGAGATCCATCCAGCCCCT